GGAGCTCAATTCAATTGTCGTACTTTTAAAAATCAATTGCATAGCATATCCGTCGCCGATTGAAATGGTATTAGTGCAACTGTTCGGCGAAGCTGCTAGGTAAGTATATAACGATTCAATACTAATATTGATATTTACTAGCTAGCTATCGCACTATGACTTGTTTAGTGTGCCTCCTCAGACTGCTGCGGCGTCTCGAGTCGTCCAGTTGATTCATGTTGTGTTCAATTACAATTTCGAATGTGCATCGATTTCTCAAAACAGTAATTTATAGACATGTATATAGTTCATCTGATCCAGAAAGTGATAGTTTAAACTTCATGTACATGTCCAGCTTGAATTTAAATAATCTATATGCGGACGTTGAGCAGGCGGACAACAACAGAGCCACCGAGCGATAATTTAAAAAAAAATAAAGATCACATCCATGCTATTTTTCGTTTTGTGTTTCTTCCATTTGAAATGCATATCTGTAAAATATTCCGTGTATCGCGACTTTCCAGAATTCGCTGGTATTGTCAAGTTGTAGCATCCATTCTGGAAAATCCATATTTTAGCAGCTATTTATTTTCTTGAAATTAAAATGTTTTAATACGCAAGATTTACAGTAATTAATGAGGTCTTGATATTAGTAATTCATATCCATAACCTGAATGGTATTCTTGTACAAAACATGTCAGTCACTTTCTCATTTTATCGTATTTTTTCTCTATAACATGACGAGATAGAACAATTTGTATAATATATTATACACTTGCGGTAATGACAAAGGTGTGTCAATAGTCAATAAAACAGCCTAGGCAATACTATAGTCAGTTAGAAAAGACATACAATTTATTAATCTCATTATACACTTGTTATTAATCTCACTAATAACAACCATTCATGGTTATTTCAATCTTTGTATTACATTTTAATTTGTTTAATAAGTTTTACAATACAAAACCATCTTTATTATTGCTGCATTGTGGATATAAATGTACCGGTAGCTCCAGAATGTGAGTAACCACTTGGAATTCCTACTGAATTTTGGGACGCCATGAATTCACAGAAATGCTTTCCTTATTTCATTTCCAAATACTTGCTGTGATAGATGAATGTTTAAACTATCCTTTATACATGTACCATAAGTGAATAAAGAATATTACTAAAAAATCCTTTGAAAATAAAAAGTTTGCCATGCAATCTATTTGTATCTAGCTACCTTGGCCTGACTCACTGAAATGATGATCAATGGGACAATGGCTTCCTATAGAGAAGAAATGTGTTAACTCCATAATGGATTTCGCAAAGAATTGTGGGATTGAAAATTGAACTGAACAATATAACCATACAATTTTTAAAAATAACTTGCACGTTGCTTGAAAACAGGAGAGGTAAAAAGCACAAGCACCTGTAGACGTTAACCAAGGTTCCCCCAAAGTCGCATTCGTTAGTGAATAAATCTTAGTCAGTGGAATTGGCCTTCCCATTGAGTCTTGGTACACTCACTTACCCAGGTTAGGGGTCGATGTTCAGCCTAAGTAGGATTTGAAGTTGGGTCTACAAATCATGAGTCTGATGCGACAACCACTATGCTAGCAGTGACCGGTAGGAATAGGTATTATTAATCGCAGAGGACCTGACCCGACTCACTGCACTAACTATAAAACTAATAATAAGGTATTATTATTCCCCTGGAACCTAACCAGACTCACTGCACTAACAACCAATTGGATATTTGTTACCTACATTTATAACAACAGTGTTCTCTCCAGACCTCTAAAGCGTCATGGTACAGTGATGTGACACTGTGAGAAGTTCTTTCAAGGGTGTTGCAGCTCTAAATCCATATCAAATACTAGAATATTAATAATTTGCCCATTGCACGTAACAGCAACAATGTGACAAAACAAGTCTCACAAATCACAAATGCTGCATACGTCCGGAAGATATACTGATTTGGAAATAAAACTGTACATAAATTGAAGCAAAAATTATTCAACTGCAGGCGAGATCGCCAAAGAAAAAAACTGACTGGCAACACTATTGTTTGGAGGTGTCAATCTGCCTACAGGTAATCCCCCAAAAATGTGTGTCATGGCTATGCTGGTGGCTCACGCTTTGCCAAATTTAGCCGAATGGCGAGTACACACATTGAGTTTTAAGCTGAGTTGCCAAATAATATATTTTATAGCCAAAATTGACCATATTTTAGGAAAGTAATGATTATTTAAATGTATAAACCATCTTTATAATAATGTTCTAGAATGTATAATAAAGAAAAATGAACGACTTTTACCGTAACATTTTTTCTGATAGTTGATTTTTCTAGGATAGATGACGTCGCCATATCTACAACAGAGCTGGTATTATGTTGCTGTATTTTGCCGATCATATATTAAAAAACTCTTGAAAATATGATACATCAGGGCAAAATGTAAGATAAAATATGAAACTTCGGTCTGACCTTTTGCATCACTTCATGTTGAAACACCATAGTTCCTCACAAAGTCGTATGTTATCGCATGACTTTGTTTACATTTTTAGCTCCGCTGTCGACTTTGTCGAGCGTATCTTATCATATGAGTACTTGTCCGTCGTCGTCCGTGGGCGTCCGTCGTCCGTGTCAATGTTTTACTTTTTCGACTTCTTCTTGAAAACTACAAGCCTGAATGATTTGATACTTGGTGTGTATGTACCTGGGATAGACCTCTCTTAGAATGTTCATTTCATGATGATATCTTCAATTCTCTAATTTTGGTGAATAGTTTTGTCATTTTTGGTAAAAAGTGACATTTTCGACTTCTTGTTAAAAACCGCAAGTCCAATTTGCTTTGATATTACATATATAGGTACTACATGTGGACCTCTCTCAGATTCGTTCATTTCATAATGATATCTTAAATTCTTTAATTTTGATGAATATTTTTGTCATTTTTGTTAAAAAGTGATATTTTCGACTTCTTGTTGAAACAGTCCGATTGCTATACATACTATACATATTGTTCATTTTCTTATATGATATCCTCAGTTCTTTGATTGAAATGTGCCTTGCTAACAGCGGAGCTATCTCAGCCGACAGGCTGCTTGTTTTGCTATTCTATTTCAAACTTTATTTGACTTGATAAATACATAAAATACTATGGAGTAAAATGATATAAAATATCAGACTGTCTCGTCTTTAATTAATTGTAGATAGGTTGTTAACTAATCCTGAGGCCCTTGCCAGAATCATTGCACTGATGACCAATGGGACACAGGTTACCTATGACTAGGACTGGGTATACTTGTTCCAGAGGACCCGACTTGACTCAGAGCACTAACTACCAATGGGTCATTTGTTATCTATACCCAGGACTGGGTATTATTAATCCCAGGAAACCTGACATAACTCACTGCACTAAATAACAATGGGACTTTTGTAATACCTATATCTAGGACTTGGCATTTTTATACCCAGGGAACCTGACCTGACTCACTGCACTAACTTCATGTACAAATCAGACTTTTGTTACTTATACTATTATTAATCCCTGAGGCTCTGTTCTGACATTTGTTAATGAGGACTGGGTTTTTATTAATCCCAGAGAACCTGACTTGACTCACTGCACTAATGACCAATGAGTCATTTGTTACCTATAATTAGGACTGGGTATTACTGGTATTAATATTAATTCCCTGACCTAACTCACTACACTAACTACTAATGGAAGACTTGTTACCGATAACCATCAGGCCCTGTACTAAGATAAATTAGCATAACATACAAGCTTTGTATTTTGATAGATATTTTAACAATTATTTTTTTTATTGTAGGAAACTTGGAAATACTATACCGAGAAATGAAAGTATATGGTATCAATAGCTTCAGTACCCGTAACAATGATTTATGACTTTTTAGTAATTGTATTACCACTTTTTTAGTTTTCTAGTTATTTCGTGACTCTATGATGTATTTTGTTATAACAATAATAATAAAAATATTATAAAACTGTATCACAAAGGTACCATACAGTATAACAAGAATTATAGTGTGATTATAAATTTATACTTAATCTAGAAATAAAGTTTCTCTTCTGTACCCTTGTCAGTGTTGGCCACTTTGTAGTAAAGCATGTGATCATGTCAGCATTATGGATATTGTCAACAATTATAATATTTGAACTCTCAATATTTTCCAAATGAGTGAGATGATAAGTAAGATGGTGCATTGTTTATTTTTAAGCATGCTATATATTAAATTGCTCAGTACTATAGAAAATTCTATAATACTTGAAATTGCAGTGTTGGATTCTTTAATTGGGCAAATAATAAAGTTTGTACACCTACGAGACAAAAATATATTATTTCTGCTTCTTGCAATACCACATTGTGTTGTGTTTATATCCTACAAAATGTTTGGTTTAAAAATTTAAACTTGATTGAAGCATAAAGCTTTGATCTCTATGATTTATGTCTAATAATTAAATACCAACTGTTCATGTGTTGCACAAATTAGGAGCTTACAGTTTGACCCAGGTTCATGGTGTACACTAATTGTGGTTGGCATGGTTACACTAATTTCCCAGCAGTGTAAAGACAGATAACAAGAAACTTGATATGAGCATCATACATAGTGGGTTGTTAAGTCACATTGTTTTGTTCAAAAATGGGAACTGATTGGGATTGATCTCTGTGTATGTGTACAAGCGTGCATCTCCAGCTGCATTGTTAACATGCCAGGACTGCAAACATTCTAACTGGACACATGCATCAAACATCTTGTGATATACCGGTATATATCAATATGTATATACTGGTATATACATTGAAAAAAAAATTAGATATTTCTATCATTCTGGAACCAGATCTTGGTCGTGTATATGGAATTCTTTCAAACTTGGTATAAACATGGGATCATCCAATATGTCAATAAAATAGATCATGTGTGGGGTCCAGTG